CCCCCCCCTCCCCCACACACACACACACAGGATGAGTGCTGGGGTTGCAAATATTTACAAACTCCAAGAGGCCTGAGGCTTCATCCAAGACATGGGCAAATTGTCACATTCTCTCAACCAAAACCTGAATTTGCATCCCCTTGCTGGGTGTTCCTGAGCAGATGAGCCTTCACACATCCTCACATGTGGGATACACTGCCACAGCCCTGCTTTGCTACAGAGAAGAGTGATCTTAGCTGCACCTGGGGATGCTGCCACCAGGTTGGGCCCCCCTTGAGCAATTGCTGCTGCAGGATCCTTGTGTTTTGCGCCTTTGTTTCTCTCAGAAGGTAAGAGCCTAGAGCATGGAGTCAGGGAGCAGCTCCACAGTCTTCTTCCCAGGCTGGGGTTGGGGAAGGGGCTGGTGCAGAATGAGCTTTCCCCTCAGCCCTGCTCCAGCCTGTCCTGCTCCAGCTTGCAGCACCCGCACCCCACTCGGACAAGTTCTTTCCGCTTTGGTTGTTGCTGCTCACAGCGGATTTGGCTGCAGTCCCTGCATTCCTTCCAGGCTAGCACTGCCCTGGGCCCAGGCCAAACCCTGCTGCTATCACTTAGAGCAGCTGGGAGCAGTGCTGTGCACCTCTACCAGCTCAGCCAGCCCCTCTGGAGTTTGTATGCAGAAGTGTTGGCTATGAGTCCTGCTCTGGGGGCAGCTCTTCTTTGTACTGTCCTGGAGGGATCTGTTTCCTGGCTATACCCTCACTGCTGTGCACACGAGTTCTCTGGAGGCAGTACCCCAATCCCAGGGGTGGGTGCAGATAGGCTGTCCATACCTGTGAGCAGCCCTGGCCCTCCATGCTTGAGCTGAACTGGTTGTGGGGCCTGAGTGCCTGGGTAGGAGCTTTCACAAAGGGCAGGTGGGGGTTAGGGAGAGGGCTGCAGGTGCCTCTCAAATGGGAGGCCACTCCTTGGCCACACTCCAGCCTATACATCCTGCTGCTCAGCCCTCAGTCTCAGAATGACTTGGGTTGGAAGGGACCTTCAAGCCCACCCAGCTCCAACCCCTGCCATGGGCTTGTCGCCCACCCAACTTGGCCTCAGGCAGCTCCAGGAATGCAGCACCCACAGCCTCACCACCTCTGAGTAATGAATTTCTTCCTAATATTTAATCTAAATCTCCCCTTTTATTTAAGAAAACAAACAAAAACATTCCCTCTTATCCAGTCACTTTCAAAAGTGTAAAAAGTTGATTCCCTTCCTGCTTATAAGCTCCTCTCAAGTATTAGAAGGCATAGCGAGATCTTCCTGTAGCCTTCTCTTCTCCAGTCTGAATCCCCCCCAGCTCCCTCCTCCTCTCTGCATAGGGGAAGATGCTCCAGCCCTTTGGTCATCTTCATAGCCCTCCTCTGGCTCCCTCTGGATGGCATTCCTTCCTTCTACTGTGTCAGCTGCACCACTCAGCTTAGTGCCATCAGCAAACTGGCTGAGGGTAAATTCAATCCCACAGTCCAGGTCTTTGAAGAGCACCAGACCCAAGACAGACCCAGGGGAGGGTATTTTCTGTTTTTTTTAGATATTAAAAAACACTTCTTTTAGATACCAGCTATTTTTCAATGATACTATGCAAAAGACACAGGCGGGAGAGAGATGACTGTTGCAACTTATGTTCTTTCTCTAGTATCATCTGCAAGACATCATCCACCTGATTCAACTCAAAGTAGATATGCTGGAGTTCTAGGTTGGGGATGATGAGTGAGATAAGCTGGCTTACATTCATGCACAGATTTTTAGTTTTCCCTGTAATGCTATTAGTGTCTCCTTTTGGGCCCCTGCCAGAATTCTATGCCTCCCAGAACATCTCTGAGTCTCCATATCCTGGAGTCCATCTATAATGGAATGGAAAGTACCATAGTGATAGCAGAGCAGGAATGTCTTCAACTACAGCAAAAAGTAACAAGTCCAAATACAGGAGACACAGAACTAAAGGAAAAGAGCTGCTTACCTCTGAAAAGCATCAGGTGGGCAGGAGCCTCAAGTAAGAGATGCTCTCACCTCCACTGCCAACCCTTAAATGAGGTCTGGGAAAGGGTGCATCCTGGCTCCACCCCTTCCATCACTCAGGTACATTGCATGCATCTGAGTTCCGTGAGTTGGCCCTGCCTTCCCCCAGGTGCTCAATCACTGCTTCAGGCCATGACTCAGCATTTCCACTACACCATCAGTTTAGTTTTCTCCTCTGTGGACTTTCCCAGCTTTTCTTTCAGCTCCTGCAGCTTAACTTGGCAGCAACCTGTGTGGTTTTTTTTCCCAGCATCTCCTATTCCTGCTGGCTTTTCAAGAATTCTGTTTTCAGGCAACAACTCTAATGTCCAATTTCTTCCACCTTGCACCCAAAAAATCCCACTCTGCAGAAATATTCTTCAGCCCCACTGCTCTTCTCCTGCTCCTTTATATCAATCTCCTCCTGTATGTTGAGGACCTGCAGTTCTCTGCCTCAAGAGAGCATCTTTCCTGGCATGATGCACTGTTAGAAGGGTTGCTGTCTGAATAGGACAAGAGGTTTCAAAATAAAAGAGGGGAGATTTAGACTAGATGTAAGGAAGAATCTGTTTACATTAAGGGTGGTGAGGCACTGGCATAGGTTGCCCAGAGAGGCAGTGGGTGCCCCAACCATGGAGACACCCAAGGTCAGGCTGGATGGGGCTCTGAGCACCTGATGGAGCTGTAGGTGTCCCTGGTCAGTGCAGAGGGTTGGACCAGATGGCCTTTAAGAGTCTTTTCCAACTCAAATGGTTCTATGATTCTGTGATCTCTGCTTCTTTCCACCCTGCTCCCCCTTCCTTCACACAGCTGGGTTTGCCCCCCCCTTCACCCCGAGTCCCTCAGCCCCTGGGGGGAAATGGGTGCTTCTCAGAGCAGGGAGGGCAGTTTGCAGGAGTCAGAAATACCTGGGGTTGTCCCAGATCTGCACTGTAGAGAGCAGAGAGTGTGGAGGTGTCCATTCCCTCCACCAAATGCACCTCAGAGCAGGAGGTTCCTGTGGGCTCTGCTTGTCAGGAGCACATCCCTGCATCCCTCTGCAGCCCAGGGGGACCCCAGGGCTGGGGGGGCACAGAGGTGGGGCTGCCGGTGCTGTGGGTGAGCCTACACCACTCAGCTGGTAGGCAAATGAGTAATGCACTCCTCTGGCCAAGCCCAAAAGCTGCTAAGTTAAGCAGTGATTTGTGTTTTTCCAAGCTGTTTCGAGTCCCTTGGTGATTCAGAGCCGCCCAGCTTTGCTACCCCAGCAGCCCCAGCTGTGTGAATGTGTTGGGTGGGGCCAGCACAGATGCAGCCAGGACTGTCCCAGTTCTGGACCGTGAAGCAAAACATGGTGACACCACATCACTGGGACGTGGGGATGCGAGCACCCCTTCCCCTCCTGTCTCTGCTCCTCTGCCTTGCCTTTAGCCAGGGGGTGCACAATGATGCCAGCCCCTGCCCATGCTGTCCCTGGAGGAATGCCCTAGGGCTGGTCCCTGTGCACCATTCCCTGCAGCACCCTTCCTGCCAGAATGGTTTGGGGGTGCGGTCACATTCTGCCCCAGCCCCATGTGCTGCATCTGCCCCTGCTGGGGCCACGCTGCTTGGAAGATGCTGAGTGTGACATTCCTCTGTCGGCCCGGGTCTGGAGTGGTGCTTTTCCAGCCACTCTGGGTTTTGATTTCTATGTGTCTCGCTGAGAGCCATGTGCCTGGAGGGTGACTCAGAGTGGGCAGCAGCCCAGCAATGCTGGCAGTGGGCAGCCACATCTGGCAGACAAGGGGTGATAAGGCTAGGCCAACCCCACTCAGTACCAGGGTGCAGGCCAGTTCCCAGCTGCTGCCTGACCTCCCAGTGCATCACTCACGGAAGCAGGGAGTCTATTTTGGGAATGGCATCACTGGGAAAAACTGCTGCATCAACAGCATGTGAAGTAAAGCAGCTGGGGACAGTGTTTTCAAAATGCCTATTTTCCATCCCAGCTTTTCTCCTGGGCATGGGCAGCCAAGCAGCAGGGGATGCTGTGAGGGCAGAGCCAGGCTGGGTGCTTCCCCTGGCATAGAGGGGACCCGCACCCCCCAGCACATCCAACAGCAGCCAGGCCCAAGCTCATCCCCCTGGGAACACCCTCTAGATGTGATGTGGCAGTAGCTGACGGAAAGGTCTTGCTCCCACACTCTTCTCACGGTCCAAGTCCAGCTGCAAACTGCCTTCTCCATCTCTGCAGCCTGCAGTGTCCTCTTCCCCTGCGTGCCACCAGCCCTTCCAGCATGGCACGCTGCACAGAGTGGCAGAGAACAAGTGATGCTGCACCCAGCACCCATGCTGTGCTGAGGAGTGTGTTCAGAGGCAATACTGTGCTGTTCCCATCTCAGGCAGCTCATTAGGGTGTCTGGGACCTGAACTGCTGCAGAAACGTGGGTGGGCTGAGACAGGATTAGAGGCAGCCAGGAAGTCCTGCTGCCCCGTGGTTAGCACAGGGCTGCTGCTGGCTCAGAACAAGGCTCCACACGTGTTGTTTTTCCCATGGTCGTATCTCCCAAATCTCTGCTTGTGGCTGCTGCTGGACCAGGCTGCCTGGGAGAGGTGGGCACGGGGCAGCCAGGCAGGTGGTGGGGCCAAAGGAAAGGCAGGGCTGGTGCCCCAGTGAGTCACGGTCCCTGGCTGTGTGCTGGGGGCTGCAGGGCTGAGCTGCACGCAGCGTGCTGGCTGCCGTGCACAGCGTGTTCTCAGGGCCGACTGCTTGTCTTCAAGTGAGAGGGTTCACAAGTGAGAAACCAGCCACTCCATCTCCCAGTCAATCACTCTGTTTGCTGAGGAAGTGAGAGCTGGAAGCTGCTCTGCTGCTGTGATTTCCGTAACCCTGCCGCTGCCCCTGTGCTGATTCATTGATTTGGACGGGTTATATACTGGGAGGGGAAGCGTGAACCGCACTCGGCGCTCCTGCCAGCACGGAGCTGTGCTCGCTCAGTGCTCACGGCTACAGGACATGGGTAAGTCTCCCTTCTGCTGTAATCCCCCACCCCCAGCGCGGCCCTGAGACCCCGGGGACCCTCAGAACATCACCGAGGGGTGGGAGGATGGCTGGCTGGTGTGCATGCTGAGCACCTTTTGGTGAGTTGGAGGTATTTGTCCTACAAGCGTTCTTCAACAAACTGAGTTAGGTGGGCAGTTTCTTAAATGATAACCCATAAAGAATGTTAAAGGAGGGGCAGAAATTTAGGGGGGCTGAGGTTAGAATCGCTTGGATGCTGAGGGGTTGCGTGTTCAACCCCTTGGTCTGCAAGCTTTTGTCCCTTAAAAGAGAAAGGGAGGTAAATTGCTTTCAGCTGTCTTTCCTGAACTGCCCTCCAGTTGGATGCTCCATGAGCTCACTTACAGGGAGTGACATGAGCTGTGCTTTTGATGTGCAAAGCATTTGGTGGAGTTTATAAGCTGCTTGCTATAAACAAAACTCTTCTGGGATGCAGATTGTTTCCATATGTGAGCCATAAGCCGTGCTGGTTGCAGAGGGCTCCTCCCTCCCCTCCAGCAACAGGCGCTTCCCTGCACTCCTGTGTGCTCCCAGCCGTGCCTGGCTGAGCCCTGCTTTGTGCCTGGGAAGCTCAGGTTTCCTCCTGCCATGTGCCACTGGGAGCTGCCAGCCAGGCACGGACTGCTGCTGTACCCATGGGTGGGCTCCCAGAGCAGGATGGAGGGGAGAATGTCCTTGATGTGTGCAGATAGATGATGGCATAGCAAAGCCCTTTTCCTCCAGTAGCTCCTGTGACAGCCCTGGGCTTTTCTGATGCTGGTGACTGCTGGTTTGGGACTCTCCACCTTCTGGGGATGCTGGCAGGCTAGCAGCACCAGGACCAGCTCACCAAGCTCACTGCAAAACAGGAAACCACGTTCCCAGCTGCTGGAGGAGCGGGGCACGCCAGGGATGCCACTAATAGCTGTGGTGTGACAGCGAGACGCCGCTGCAGGCTCTGCCCTGCCTGGCCCAGAACTCCTGGGGAGGAGTGTGTCCGGCCCTGGGAAGGCAGCACCATCCCGAGGTGGGCGGTGAACCTCCTACTTTCTTTTCACCGCAGGCCCCATGGAGCAGGGAGGTTGGTGGCTGCTGCTGCTGCTGCTGGGCTTTCACCCGGTCTGCGGGCAGTGCCCGGAGCAGTGCCAGTGCGTCCGCACTGCCCAGGTGGAGTGCTCCGGCGCCGGCATCACCGCTGTCCCCAGCCCCATCCCCGCCAATGCGGTGACCTTGCAGATCGTCAACACGCGCATCACCGAGCTGGGCGAGGCATCCTTCGGCAACGCCTCCCTGCTCATCGGGCTGCGCATCGAGAAGAACGACCTGCGGCACGTCAGCCCCGACGCCTTCCAGCACCTGCCCGACCTGCGCTACCTCAGCCTGGCCAGCAACAAGCTGCAGGAGCTCCCGGTGCAGGTCTTTCAGCCCCTGGGCAAGCTGGAGTCGCTGCTCCTCTCCAGCAACCAGCTGCTCCGCGTGGAGCCCGACCACTTCGCCCACCTGAGCAACCTGAAGGAGCTGCAGCTGCACGGGAACAATCTGCGGGAGCTGACGGAGGGGCTGTTTGACCAGCTCGCCAGCCTCACCAAGCTCAACCTGGCCCGCAACAACCTCGACCGCCTGCCGCCCCGCGCCTTTGAGCGGCTGCCCCAGCTGCAGGTGCTGCGGCTCTATGAGAACCGGCTGCGGCACATCCCGGCGGGTGCCTTTGATGCACTGCCCGAGCTGCAGGAGCTGGGCCTGCACCAGAACCAGCTGGAGATGCTGTCCCCGGAGCTCTTTGTGCACAATGAGAACCTGCAGAAGCTCTACCTCTCCAACAACCTCCTCACTGCCCTGCCCGCCGGCATCTTCCTGCCGCTGCGTGCCCTCTCCAAGATCACCCTGCACGTCAACCGCCTGCGCGACATTTCCCCAGCTGCCTTCGGCCCCATGCCCAACCTGCGGGAGCTGTGGCTCTATGAGAACGAGCTGGCCGCTCTCCCCGCCGCCGTCTTCAGCAATCTCACCCAGCTGCAGCTCCTGGTGCTCAGCAAGAACCAGCTCCGATCGCTGGCTCCGGGGGCTTTCCGTGGGCTGGGTGAGCTGCTAGAGCTCTCGCTGCACTCCAACGCCCTGCACCGGCTGGATGCTGGGGCACTAGGGGGAATGCCCAAGCTGCAGAACATCTCCCTGCAGAACAACCGCCTGCAGACGCTGCCCCACCGCCTCTTCGCCGCCACTCCGAGGCTGCAGCACATCCAGCTGCACGCCAACACCTTGGAGAGCCTGCCCGCAGGCATCTTCTCCCCGCTGTCCGCCGTGCGGGAGGTGAAGCTGCACAACAACTCGTGGCGTTGTGATCAGGCCATCCTGCCCCTGCGTGCCTGGCTGGAGGCCAACCCCAGCAAGGTGGGTGAGACCCCCCCCGTGTGCGCCCAGCCGGCCCCGCTGCGGGGAACACCCATTGCCGAGCTGCGGCAGGACCAGCTACCCACCGCCCGGCCCAGCAGCCCGCTGCCTGCCCACCCTTCCCAGGAAGTATTGCCATCGGGGCCCCACACCACGCTGCCAGCAACCCCCATGTCTCGGGAGGAGGAAGAAGAGGATGAAGGCAGGGGGTGGTGGGGGCTGACGCGCACGCAGAGCGCGGTGGTAGGGGCTGTCATCGTGCTGTTGTGCGTGGCCCTGCTCTGTGCCCTCGTGGCACTGGTGGTGTATGGCTGTAGAAAGAAGAGTCATGTGGTGCTGATGAGGATGAAAGCACCCAATGAAGCCTGATCTCCCAGGAGCCCCGGGGGCATTGGTGACCCAGAGTTGAATGGGCAGCATCACACCATGTGCCAAGTCCCCTGTGCTGCTCTGCTTCACCGTGCCCCTGCTCTGCAAGCAGGGTGTCAACTACGGGTGCCCCCTTGGCTGCCCTGTCCCCAGCCCCTTCTGCCTCTGTGCTGAATCCCTTCCTGGGGCCCTTCCTGGGGCCAGCAGCCAGAGTACAGGGTGCCAAGTAGCAGAGCAGGGAGCAGCAGCCTGGCCACAGAGCACTGGGACTCCCCCTTCCTCACCTCACATCATCCTCTTGAGCTGCCCCCAGCCCCATGCCCTCAGCCACAGCCTGTGCTGAGGTGTGAAGCCATCACACGGGGCCAAGATCTAAGCACACACCTCATCCCAGGCAGGGCTGTGTGTGCCTTTGCAGCTTAGCCCTGCAGGGCTGGGCTACCTCTGCTTGGCTCTGAGCCTGGTGTGCTCTGTGGTGGCACACCCCAGTGATTTGGCCGCGTCCACGCTGCCCTCCCTGCCTGCAGGCAGAGCAGCAAGAGTGGAGCATCTTCCTCTGCCTCCAGCAGAGTCCTTGTCCTCACACGCCTGTGTTTCCCATGCCAGCAGCACTGCAGGACTACGTGTGCCCTGGGCATCCATCAACTACAGCCCTGCCCAGCACAACTGCACCCTCTCTTCTCCCTGTTCCCAGCCTTGAGAGTGCCCACTCTGTGCCTGCTCCTGCTGCCTGCTCCCAGCCTGAATGCTGCTGGTGGCATAGGGCAGGAGGGCAAAGCCCTGAGATCCAGCTGTGGGCAGGGGGGACTGCACTGCCCCAGCAGCTACTGTGCCTCCTCCAGCCAGCAAGGCGCAGGCAGAGCTCCATGTATGGCGCTGGGCCGTATGGAGTACGGTACTATGGGACAAGAGTCTCAGTGGGTGGTGCTGCTTGTGATGCTCCAGGAGCCAATGCTGGCACAAGCATCAATGCAGTTGTGTGTATGTGATGGCATGGATGCTTTTCTGGGCTGAGACCTGCTCAACAACTGCAAACAGGACTGTGCCTCGGGGCTGTTCAGTACTGCTCTGTGACCATTAAAACACGGTTGTCCAAATCCAAGAGCTGTTTGTCTGCTTCTCTGTGGTGAGAGGCACCCGTGGTAAAGCCAGCAGAAAGACGAGCTTTCATTTATTGCCTCTCTCAAGTGATTCCTTCACAGTGAGAATAACCCATGCAGGCTGTTGGGACAGGGTGAGTGTGTCCTGGCTGCACAGCCCAGCTGGGCTGGGGTGAGGGAGGGCTTAGCCATTCCACTGCAGCATGATGGCTCTTGGAGGGCTCACTGAGACCTTGGCAAGCTTCCTGACACAATGCTGAGAGTCTTGTAGCTCTCTGCACAAAGCAGGTCTTCCAAGGGTGCCTTCACCAGTGGCCCTGCCCTCTGAACCATACCACAATGGCCCCGAGGTGTTCCTCTTCACCGGGATGTTGCTCTTCTTCCTCTCTGTGCTGGTCCTCTCCCCTGGGCAAAGAACTCATGTCAGCCTCATGCCTCAGTGAGACCAATAGAGCCCAAGGACACTCCTGTTGGGCTGCTGCATGCAGGCACACTGCGTTTGGTGTGGGCCCAGTGTCACAACCCCAGGGCATGGCTGGGGCCATGGCCATGATTCCCCACTGTGATGCCTGCCTGTGGCTCCTGCCCTTGCACCCCGTGTGCATTCACCTCTGCTCTCAGGGGCTGGGCTGTTTTTTGGAGTGCTCCAAGGACATGGGTTGTTGTTGCTGATAAGCGGAAAGGGGCAGCTCCACCCCAGCAGGAACATGTTGTCAGCTGCCTCCACATCCGCCCCAGGACACATCTTCCCTTCTTGGAGAGTTTCACTCCTGGCAGCAGGCTGTGTTCCCTGCGGTGGTGGTCCCTGTGATGCCGCTCTCGGTAAGTGGCAGCAGTAGGCTGTGGGACTGAGGACAGGGGTGTAGGGCAGGTGGGGAGTGCTGGAACCACGTCGGGTGCTGGGAGGGAAGGCTGGGGCCAACACTGCCCTGCAGCACTGCCATAAGGCCGAACCCCCCCAGCTGCAGGCATCTCCATGTGGATGTCACCGTGGTGTGGCAGAGTCCCCATTGCAGCACTGTGCTGCTCAGCATGGGCACAGCACCATGGGGTGTTCCAGCTCAGCCCTTGCACGTGTGCAGGCATGTGCCCTTAGCAGGAGCTCAGGCTCCGGAACGTTACTGCAAAAGGAAGTGTTGGATGAGCAATTAGGAACACGACTGCTCAGCCGAGTGCAGCGGGCACAGCTGCCCTGCAGCAGGGGCTGAGGCCACACTCCTCCTGCAGTGCAGCGTGCTGCTCCCTGCCATACTGGGGCTGGGGGCCCTGCTGGTCTGGGGGCTGCCCTCGCCCTGCCCCCTGCCCTGCCAGTGCTATGGCCATGCCAGCGTCTTCTGCTCAGAGGAGAGGATGAGGGAGATCCCAGCGGGCCTGCCTGGCAATGCCACACAGCTCTTCTTTGTGGAGACGGCCCTGAGCCACATCCGGAGCGGTGCGCTGGGCCCCAGCACTGCCCTCACCAAATTGGTGTTCATCAACAACCACATCCAGGAGCTGGAGCCCGGCGCCTTCCGCGGGCTGCCCAACCTGGCTGAGCTGGAGCTGTCGGGCAGCCCACTGCCATCTGTCAGCCCAGAGCTGCTGAAGGGGCTGCCCAGCCTCACCGTGCTGTCCCTCAGCTCCAATGCCCTCCGCTCTCTGCACCCGGAGCTCTTCGCTGCTGTGGGCAGCCTGCAGGACCTGTGCCTGCAGGGAAATAGGATTGAGGCACTGTCCCATGACATCTTCCACCCGCTGCGACATCTCCGGGCCTTGGACCTCTCGCAGAATGTGCTGGCTGAGCTGCCTGAGGGGCTGCTGGTCCCGCTCACTGCTCTGCGCATCCTGAAGCTGAGCAACAACATGCTGGCACAGCTGCCACCCTGTGCCTTTATAACACTAACCCAGCTGGCCGAGCTGCACCTGGATGGCAACCAGCTGGCTGAGCTGCCACCTGGTGCCTTTACTGGGCTGGCAGGGCTGCAGCGGCTGCAGCTGCAGCACAACACCCTGGGCAGCCTGGCCCCTGCCACCTTCTCTGGCCTCACCAACCTCACCTCCCTCAGTCTGGAGGGGAACCGCCTGACTCAGCTGCCTGCCGCCCTCTTTCAAGGCACCCCATACCTCCTGCACCTCTCGCTGGCCCGCAACCGCCTGCGGACGCTGCCCAGGGGCCTCTTTGCCAACCTGTCAGCGCTGCAGAGCCTGGCGCTGGAGCACAACGCCCTGTCCTACCTTCCTGCTGAGGCCTTCCATGGACTGGCAGAGCTGACAGCACTGCAGCTGGGCCGAAACAACCTCTCCGTGCTGCCCGCTGGGCTGCTGGATGAGCTGCCCCGCCTGACATCACTGGGACTGGAGCACAACCGCCTGTCCCACCTGCCCACGGGCTTCTTCGATGCCAACGAGGAGCTGGTGCGCGTGAAGCTGGAGAGCAACCCCTGGGTGTGTGACTGCCGCCTCGCCTACCTGCTGAGCTGGCTGCAGGTGTTTGCCGAGCCCCTAATACACATGCAGGCCTCTTGCACCGGCCCCACTGCCCTCGTGGGACGACCCCTCCTGGAGGTGAACCTCCGGCCTCAGGTGTGTGCTCGCCACCAGGGCTGGGAGGCGCCTGGGGAGGACACACCAGGGCAGTGCACCTACAGCGACCCCGAGGGCACCCTGCATATATCCTGCAATGCCACGAGCTGCCAGCAGCTCAGCCTTCGCCTCCCTCCTCCTCCTCCTGGGGAGACAGCACAGCTGGGGCCCGAGTACCAGGGTGACTGGGTGCTGAGCTCCTCCTGCGGCACGCTGAGGGTCAGCATCCTGGTCACGGTGCGGGATGGAGAGCAGGACGTGTCACCTGGTGTCCCTGCCACACCTTAGGGCACCGCACTCTGCTTCAGGGCCGGCGGGCCGGTGCAGCGACTTCAGCCTGGGGAATGACGACGTGTTCGGCTCTGATGTCCCCACCGAGGTCACCAGTCTCAGCAGCGGGACTTCCGGTATTTATTCGCCCAGCCACGCAATCCTCAAGTCCTCGTGTATTTCAAATATCATTAAAAAATAGATATTAATTACCCGTGTGCAGCCATTTCCCACAACAGAGGGTGGGAAGACTTAAGTAAAGCGGCTGCGATCGCGTGGGGACATGCCTGGGTGCTCCGATGTCCCGCTGCCTGGGCACACGCGGCCGCTGCTGCCGGGTGCTGCTGCCGGCGGCGGCCGGCTGCCCGGTCCCAGCTGAGCCCTTCTCCCCGACGGCGCTGCGGCCGTACGGTGCCGTGCGGTGCTGCGGCTCCACCTCGTGGCCGACGGGCCCGGGGACGACGGCGCTCGGCCCGGCTCTGCAGGCTGCTCGCGTCCCGGTCCTGGCACCGTGCGCGGAGCGGGAGCCTCACGGGGTCGGCACTGGAACGCGGTGAGGCGCGTGGGAGAACGTGGAGTGCTTTGCCATTTGCCTGGAAACAGAGCCAGGCAAAGCACTAGCTGAACCTGAATAAGAGCGAACGAAAACAAAAAAGGAAATGTTTAACTGCAGTTGGTCCTAGGAAGCATTTCATTGCTTGTCATTTCAAGCGATTCCCCGAATCAAACAGGGCATTTCCTCCACAAGCTCCCCCGCACCTGCCAGCAGCCCCAGGTGTCCCCAGCAGGGCCCCTCTTCGTGCTCCCGGCCAGCACCAGCCCCACAGCCAGCTGCCAGGACACCCAGTGCTGGCTGTGTATCTGCCCGGCAGGGCCACAGCTCTCATCGTTGCGATTGGCTGAAACAAATGGCTTTGCAGCAGCGCCTTTAAGCTACATCAGCTGCTTCTTGAGGAAGGAAAACCTTGCCGGTCTGAAGAACTTTGGCTTTCCCTGGATGTGAATGGCCAAGTGGTGCGGGCAGATAACGCCTGGGAGCAGGCTGCATCCTCTCCAGGGGTGCCTGGGCTGCTCCCCACGCTGTGCTGGGTGTTATCTCCCCCGGCAGCCCCAAAGCCAAGCCCCGTGCCTGGCCACGGATAAGGAGCTCCCCCCAGGTGATGGGACCCTTTGTCCTGTGCCTCACTCCCTGCATAGCGCAGTGTGCCGACAGCTGGACTTGTCTGAGAGCACTCAGGTAAGTGACATGAAATGCTTGAAAATGTGCTGGGAGGGGAGGTTCTGGGGATCTATTTAGCTGTGTCCCTGATCCTGGGACCATTTCTGATCTTTGAAGCTTTGCTTGCGAAGATTTTCAAGTGTTTGCTGCTGTTGTGTGGGTAAGCTATTGCCCTGCTAAGCATTGGTCTCTTCCTTCTACTGCTGTGATATGTGAATAGAAGGGTCCTGAGAGCTGAACGACAATGTGGTGCCACAGCTCATGAACTGTGGACTCACATTTTGTTGTTCTTCATAACCAACTTTTGGAACCCTTTTTCTAGGATGATGAAGCAGCATTTCCTTTTCCTTTTCTTCCTCTGCTTCCATCCCCATAAATGCCAAAGTCAAACCCTGGGTGCAGATCCATATGAAATGCCCAAGGATTACCAGGAGGTCTACAGAGGGTCTAAAAATGATGTCAAGGAGATCCCAAAGATTGCAAAGTCCTTCATTTCTGAGATGATCTTTGTGCAAACCAGCATCACTGCCATAAGGAAAGGCGCCTTCAGGTACATGCCCAACCTGACCAAGATTTTATTCATTGGCAACAATATCAAGACAGTTGAATCTGGGGCCTTTGATGGTTTGGAGAAACTGAGGGATTTGGAGATCTCTGGTGCTTCCTTAGAAGAATTAGCTCTGGGCACTTTCCAGAACCTTCCAAACTTGCAGAGGCTGGAGCTGAGAGACAGCCACATCAAACGCATCCCCAAAGGCCTGTTTGAAGGGCTGGAGAATCTGGGAGAGCTGTCCCTGCACATCAATGCGATCCCTTCTCTTCCAGAAGGTATTTTTGATTCTCTTGCCAATCTGACATTTTTGGATCTGGCTAGAAACAGGATCACCGTTCTGCCTGAAGATGTGTTCAGCAAACTGCCCCAGCTGCAAGTCCTCCGGCTGTATGAGAACGAGCTACAGGACCTGCCA